GGTGAGGAGAGAAAAAAACGAAGATAATGTTACCCAGAGAAATTAATAGTCTGATTATTTCAGAGAGAGAGAAAGGAAGGTAATGATGAAGATAGAACCTGCATCAAGAGAATGGATTATATGTGCCTGTTTCAGCAAACCTATAACCAGAATACACAGTACAGAGGAGGGGAGAGGTAAGAATGAGATTAGGGAGACTCTATCTGAATAGTGAGAACTGATCTAGAGTTCATCATGGCAGTGCGTCAGTACTGATCTTAGGAGAGGGGCTGTTTCCGTATCCAGGCTCCAGTAACAAAGCAGCTACCCAGTGCAGATGGGCATGGTTTGGTGTAAGCGGGTCGCACCTCCACTGTGGGTCCCCGAGCCCTCGTAGGTGCTTGTGGGGAGAAAAATCGTGACCTCCCAGCCCCTTCTCAAACCAGTCATTGCAAATCACTCTTTTGTGTCTGATCTCACTGTGCTGTGGGAGCAGTCAAGATGAGCCTTTTTCTATGTTCCACACCCAGCCTCATTTCTAGATTTTACTCAGTGTGCATTGATGATACCACCTGAAATGTAATACCGTAAGCCCCCACCCTTCTTAGATCTTGTTGTGCTGTGGCTGGAGCTGGTTTGTCCCAAGAGCAGTTGCACGAACACCTGGGGGCTTGGAGGTCATAGTGACAGACAACACGAAGCCAGCATCCAGTGAGCTGCTCTCAGCAGGGGCTCCTGTGCTAGTGATCAGAGCAGTGCAGTGGTGCCTGTCAGCTCTCCTGCTGATGAGAGGCGGTGCCACCTCTCCCAGATGCACTCCAGGAAGGGAACTGTCCCTCTCCATGCGACCCGGGGGATCCTCAGACCTCAGTACTTCCTATGGGCTTCTGTCCTCCTTTTCCACAAAGGCACTGATATGCCCACCTGACTCCACCCAGCGATGGCAGGGGCTTCTGGGTCTTCAGTCCTTTAGCTGCTCGTTCACTGGAGTATGACTTGTCATGGTCAGCTTTCTATGTCATCTTGACTGCGTCTTGGGTACCCAGATTAACCATTGTTTCTGTGGATGTCAGTGATGTGTTTTGAGAAGAGATTGGCATTTCCATCCATGGTTTCTGTCTGCACGGGCATCACCCACTCCATTAAGGTTCTGAATAGAATCCATGCAGTGGGAGGAAGAATTCCCTCATTTCTACCTCCCACGTGCATGTTGAACTGGAACATAGGTCTCCTCCCACCCTGTTCTGAGAGTTACATCACGCAGTCCCCATGTTCTCAGACTAGACACTAGTTCAGAATGAGATGAGAATTACACTGATTTTCCTGGGTCTTCAGCTTGTGATTGTAGATCACAGACTTCTCAGCCTATGTAATCATGTAAACCAATATGCTTTGGGTTCTGTTCCTGAGGAGATATTTATTTCTTCTTTAGAGTAATTGAATAAAACTCTAACTCATTTAAAGTCCTGAGTAGCAAAGTGCCATGAAGGAAGTGTCCTGTTGTTTGGGACCAGAGCTGGATGAGGAAAATGAGGACCTGTGGGGTCCGTGGTCCTAGCTGCACAGTCGGTGCATCTGGGATCCTGTAAAGGTTCAGCTGCTGTACCTCAGGATACCTGTAATTCAGTCATATTTAGGGACAGGAGGAAGCAAGTGCAAACAACTGTGTTCTTTGTGTACGTTAGTGTAGTTTTCCTCTGAGAACAAAGTTTCAATACAGAGAGTGAATAGTTAAGTACAGAATCACGTGACCAGAGAGGCTCCCTGGGGGAAACTGCTGTGTGGAAAGGAAGCCCCAGACCCTGACAGGAAACCTGCCTGTGACCTCCATCTTCCCTGCTCCTGGGAATATAAACCAGAACTGTGCATAGTGTGCACCCCCTGGTGGTGCTGATCCCCTTCTCCAGGGAGGTTTGTGTCTGGGCTCACCCTGATGACTCCTCACTGTGTCTCCCGCACAGAAATACGTGGCCGTGTCTTCGACTCTCAGGTTGTTCATCTGTAGATCGACTGTGTTCTTGGCGTTGTCTCTGGAGATGGTGAATCGGCCCTTCACGGAGTCTGCGTAGTATGTGCTTCCACTACTATAAATGTATGCAACCCACTCCAGCCCCTTCCCTGGAGCCTGGCGGACCCAGCTCATGTAATAGCTACTGAAGGTGAATCCGGAGGCTGCACAGAAGAGTCTCAGGGACCCTCCAGGCTTCACCAGGCCTCCCCCAGACTCCACCAGCTGCACCTCACACTGGGCACCTGCAGACACAAGACATCCTGGTCAGGAAACTGTCACACATCTAGTGTTTCTCTCACTCACATCCATTCACACACTCAATGTCTCTTGTTCGCCATGAATTACCTTTTAAAACAGCAAGAAGGAAAACCCAGCCAAGCACAAACTCCATGGTGAGATGTCTGTGTTCTGTCCTGATCACAGAATGGGAACACCTGGGACTCCCGGGGCTGGGGCTCCTCTCCCAGCTGCAGGGTCAGGGCTGGGCTGGTTTAATCATCACAGGGAGGGTCTGATTTGCATGTCCTCTGAGTATATAAGCAGCTATGTTCAGTCTTACAAAGAGGGCAGTGACCTGAGTAGATGTAAATCTCTTTAATTTGGTGTATTGACAGATTTTGGATAAATAAAAGTTGTTACTATCACTTTCCAGAGATCACACTTTTGCTCCATATGAGACTTTGGTTTTACATTCGCACACTACTCGTGGGGTATAGGTGTCATCATATCCTATAAGGAGATGTGAACCTACAACCATGTTTTAGAGGCTGGAGAGGTGTCCAAGTGCACGTATGTGGTGAGAGTGAGCCCAGGATCTGGGCCGGTGCTTCTCCCTACAGGACCTACGACCTCCCTCAGTCCACCTGCAGGCCTGAGCGGGCGGGCTCCTGAGGAATGCGGAACACTTTCTGTACTGGGTCCAAAATGATTTTGCTTGCTCTGGAGTTTACCTTAAACATAGAGTGAATCAGATTCATTGGAGGTGTCTTTTTAAGTCTTTAACATGTCACTTAATCATTGTGTCCCTACTGAGTAATCTCTGTGCTTATTTGTAAGAGCTTTGATGAATGTACCTGGCATAGAGTGAGGTGCACATGCCGAGTGTGTGATATGATAGAACACTGATGTGAGTAAACATGATCAAGACTGAACACATAATTCCTATTAAAATCTCTTATAGTTCCCCTGGAATTCTTCCTTCCTAGTTCCTTTCTTCACCCTGTCCCCACAGAAGTATTAATCTTTCTCATGTTTCTTCAG